ATGGGACTTAGTAACTAGGGTTCCGGAAAGGGCTCCTTAAACGGGATCTACAGGGGCTCTATTATAAGAGGGGCTTTAGGATCTACTTAAAGGATCATGGGACTTAGTAACTAGGGTTATTATTGAGGTAATTGTACTTATAACTACTTATAACTCCAATTAGGGTACTTATAACCTTACTTACTACTAAGTCCCATGATCCTCCAAGGAGGGCACGTGGAGCCAGCGTTTGGGGCTTTGGGGGTTTAGGGCTTAGGGGTTTAGGGGTTTAGGGTTTAACGGGTTTAGGGCTTTAGGGGTTTAGGGCTTTAGGGGTTTAGGGCTTTAAGGGTTTAGGGCTTTAGGGGTTTAGGGCTTTAGGGGTCTAGGGGCTTAGAGCTATAGGGTTTGAGGGTTTAGGGCTTTAGGGTTTAAGGGCTTAGGGCTTCGGGGGTTTAGGGCTTCAGGGGTTCAAGGGTTTAGGGCTTTAGGGGTTTTCGGGTTTAGGGCTTTAGGGGTTTCAGGGTTTAGGGTTAATTAGCTCAAGGAAGCAGAAGGAATAGTATTCTAGTACAGTCGCAGGGTTGTTTAGGTTTGGGGGTCTAGTGGCGCAGCCTACACCCCAACTGGCTTCAGGGTTTAGGGGTGTAGTGTTTTTGGAGCGCTGCCAGAAGGGGTCACGGAGGTAAGAGATCAAGGGCGTCTTGGATGCGAAACCGTGAACTATTGCTGATGAAATGTCCTGAAAGCTGTCAAAGCACCCAAATTTCTATCCGTAAGTTAAGGGCCACATCCCGAAACCCGAATACTTGAAGCCTACTCACTGGGCCCTACATCCTCATACTGGGCTGATGAAGGGCTTGGGGTTCAAAAGCTTGCGGTTCAGGAGTGTCTTTTTCGGATGCAAGTGTAAAGGGCTATGAGGATCCAGTATGTTCGAGGTTAATTACTGCTGTGCGCTCGAAGAGGAGGCTTTAAGGCTGCGGTGTTGTGGAGTTCATGGCATTGGTTCTGCTTGCATGGACGGGTTGGTTTTGGTGCCGGCAAGAGAGGACACAGAGCAAGGATTGGGTATATCTAGTTACTGTATGCTAGCAAGTTCGTAAGCGTTGATGTCGGAACGTGAAATCTGTGAATCGGGAATCTCATATCCCGACCCTTCAAGGGTGCAAGTACCCAGCAAGTAGATACTTGAGTTCAGGGCATTAGTGGCCGATAGGTTATTAAAGTGGTCGTACTGGTGGTTTAGCAAAACAGGGAGTGTAGACCCGTGTTTAATAGACTCCGCTACCTTAAAAGAGATAGGTTTAATGAATAAAGGGCCTCTAAAGAAAGGGTGTTTAATTAATCAGGGCTCTGCTCTGCTCTGTGCTCCTTAAACCCTTTCTCAAAACCTGAACCCTAAACCCTGAACCCTAAATCCTGCATCCTGTACCCCAAATCCTAAACCCTGAGCCCTAAACCCTGAACCCTGAACTCTAAACCCTAAACCCTTTTTAGGGGTCTCCCTCATGATGCTACTTAAAGGGTCATGGGACTTAGGAAACCTGAACCCTGAACTTTAAAGCCTGAACCCTAAACCCTGAAGCAAGCCTGTAGCTCAGGCTCCAGCTGGTGCACGAAGCAGGTGTCTTGCTCGGTGTGGCAGGAGACATACGGATCAACCCTTAAAACCCGAAAAAAAACATAAAACCTAAACCCCGGAACTCTAAACCCTAAAGCGTTCGGGGTTTCGGGTTGACAAGTTGAGGGGCGCAGGATTTTGAATGCATTGCAGTGAAGCCTCCAGTTGCGTGAACTTTTGGGTTCATCTGTTCTTGAAGTAGGAAGTCCTTGCCTCCAAATTTACAGCCACGGCGAGGTTCGAGAGTTTTGTCTTTGCAGCTTTCGCGGGGCTGTCTGAGTCTGCCCTCAAAACAACTCAGAAACCCTCAAGACAAGTCTTATAAAGTCCTATAGAGACTCGACAACGTTTTCTCGACAAGCTATGAAGCCGCGCAGGGATTCAAGAGACCCTCGCCCTAAACATCTCCATCATACCGTTCATAAAAGCCCTATGCCCTCCTATGAAATTATATGAAAAGGACAGCCCAAGCAGTCCTCATCAGCGAGGGCTCTATGAAGCGCTGCAAGGGACCGCAAGCCTAGAGAGACTCGACTTCAACCTCACCACTAGTGGAAACCTACCAAACCCTGTGGAGACTCCAGTGAAAGTTTCTAGAAGCAAACCCGATGAAATCCCATGTCAAGACAATAGAATCAATGACCCTCTGACGCCAGCTCAAGACCGCCTCAAACTCTCTTTAAACCTATGAACCATTGCGAGACCTCCCAAACCCTTCTTCACAAAAAACAGGAGATCACTTTAAACCCGAAAGCCTCCAAAAACACTAGATTAGTTTAGACCTTTACCACCCAAAAGCGCAAGATCACCCTAAACCCTTGACCCTCACACAAAACCCTGAGCCCTTACTAAACCCCAAAACCCTGAGCCCTTACAAAAAGCAGGAGGTCAAGGACCCAAAAAAGCACTGAAATCCGAAACCCTCACAGAAAGCCTTAAATCCTTAAAGCCCTAAAATCCCTCACCCAAAACCTTAAACTTAGATAAATCCTCAAAGCCCTCAAATCCGAAACCCTCACCCAAAACCTTATATACATCCTTAACAGCGCAGGAGATCAAACCCTAAACCCTATAAACCCTAAACTCTAAGACCCTATACAAGCGCAGGAGATCAAGGACCCCGATCCTTACAAGCCGGTGCTCTGCTTCCAGACCTTCTGGAGCTCGGGAGCTCAGTGATCCCAATGGGTGACATGATGAGGGAGACCACTTAAAAGGGTTTAGGGTTTAGGGTTAGGGTTTAGGGTTTAGGCTTTAGGGTTTAGGGTTTAGGATTTAGGGTTTAGGGTACCCCTTTTGAACTCTACTTCTGGCTCTCTTAAAAGGGACCTTATTGAGAGGGTCTATATCCCCGAGGGTCCCCCTAATCCTAACTCCCACCCAAGTGGCATCCGCTACTATAGGGGCCTTGCCTTAGGGGTACTTAGAAATAAAATTTTCATTTTTGGTCATTATAATCCCTAAGAAACAGCTAAAACTATAGTTTTTGCTGGGGTTCTAAGTTCAGTACAGTTACCTAGACCCCTGAAAAGTAGGTGAAATACTGGCCCAATACCCATAAAAGGCTCTGATTCTACATACTTTGGGGGGTCCAGGTAATTATTAACGACTAACACTATTTTAGGGGTTTCCTGTAAAGTACTTAAAGTATAATTTTCCCCAATCCCGTTCTTAAAATAGAAAAGCCAATAGATTTACAAGGTTTGGGCTTTTAGGGTTCTGGGTTTAGGAGTTGCCAGATTGTTATTTCAGGGGTATTGGGCTCTCCCGGAAGCTTTGCATAACACCACGCGACCCTAAAAGCAAAGCTCTGAAATCAGGTGCCGCCCGCAGCTGCTACACACGGACGTTGGCCAATGGCACGCAGGATTTTCGCTTCAAGCCAACGAGGTCCCCTGCCGAGGGTTAAGGGACAAAGATTGCTGAGGTCTAAGGGTTTAGTGGTTTTGGGGTTTGGGGGTTTACGCTTTGGCGAAACTTTCCTCGAGCTTGGCTGCTTGACTCCTGAGCAGAGAGTAATCAGTTCAATGCTCTCTCCCGCGAAAAAAAGCAAGGGTGTGCGAATGTGGGTTTTAGGTGTTGTGGTGAAAGCTCTGGGTGACGGAGCATCCTCCGCCTGGCCAGTGTTACAGGTGTTTTGAGGTATGGCATGTGTATAGTACATAATAAAGAGAGTCATAATTAGTAATACCAGCAGTAGTAGTAGTAGTAGTCGTCGTCGTAGTCGTAGTCGTAGTAGTCGCAGTAGCAGTAGCAGTAGCATTAGCAATAGCAGTAGCAGTAGCAGTAGCAGTAGCAGTAGCAGTAGCAGCAGCAGTAGCAGTAGCAGCAGCAGTAGTAGTAACAGTACTAGTAGTAGTAGAAGTAGTAGTAGTAGTAGTAGTAGTAGTAGTAGTAGTAGTAGTAGTAGTAGTAGTAGTAGTAGTAGTAGTAGTACTAGTAGTAGTAGTAGTAGTAGTAGTAGTAGTAGTTGTAGTAGTAGTAGTAGTAGTAGTAGTAGTAGTAGTAGTAGTAGTAGTAGTAGTAGTAGTAGTAACTTAGTAGTAGTAACTTAGTAGTAGCAACTTAGTAGTAGTAACTTAGTAGTAGTAACTTAGTAGTAGTAACTTAGTAGTAGTAACTTAGTAGTAGTAACTTAGTAGTAGTAGTAGTAGTAGTAGTAGTAGTAGTAGTAGTAGTAGTAGTAGTAGTAGTAGTAGTAGTAGTAGTAGTAGTAGTAGTGAAGATAATGATAATCAATGTAGTACTCGACTCTCTGGGTTTGCCTTTTTGTACAAGTGCATCGTCTTTTGATGCTTCAGCGATCGTTTTCTGCCCTGAGCTGCCAGGGCACAGCGTCTGATGCGGGGCGAGGCCGCCGAAAGAGAGAAGATCAGCACCTTGTTTGTGGGGCTTGATTGCAGCTGATTACGGACTTTGTGGAGATTGAGAAGGAATTCGACTGCTAGTGCCAGCGTCTGCTTGGCTACTTGTTTGTTGCGTGTTTGTCAGAACCTGTGTCTGTGTTCGCAGTTGCAGTCGCACTTGTAGCTGTAGCTGTAGTTTCAGTTGTAGTGGTTGTTGCTGTAGCTGTAGTTGTTGTGTTATCGCTTTCCTGTTTGCTTGGTTGTTTGTTTGATTGTTTCTTTGTTTGCTTGCTTGTTTGTGTTTGTTTGCTTGTTTGCTCGTTTGCTTGTTTACATGTTTGCTTGTTTGCTGGTTTGCTCGTGTGCTTGCTGCTTGTTTGCATGCATTCGTTCTTGCCTGCTTGTGTTGTGCGCTCGATTGATTGCTTTGCATCGTGCAAGATCTCCCGAGGGCAGGAAGCTAAGGATTACAGAAGCTTGATACGGAAGCATGCCAACTGCCGCAGCTCTCTTGAACTGTTGAGCCACGCGCGAGGTCCTCCCCTCCAGTCATGGGCAGTCACGGTACAGAGCCGCCCAGGGTTGCCAAGCGAACGCAGAATGACCTGCAGTTCGGGCATGCCGAGGACAACACGGTGATAAAGCGCAGGCGTGATGGCGAAGACCAGCTGGGCGAGATGAATGGGATTGCGACCCTGAAGCCGAACCAAGAGGAGATTCAAGTCATGACGGTCGCCACGCAGAATAAGGAACTTGTGGCACACATTAAGACAATGCTGGAGAATCAAGAAAGGCTGCAGCAGCAAGTGGTGGAGATGAGGCGGCAGCAGGGATTCCTGATCACGCAGATGATGAGCTTGCAGCAGGAGGTCGTGGACCTGAAGGATACGACCGCTGAAGCCATCACGAGCCCGAGCGGTGACTTCGTCAAGGCCCTGCGCCAAGCGACAGCTCCCGTCCCTACGAAGAAGCCGCCGAACCCGGCGCTCTTCCCAGAAGACCAACGAGCAACACAGGAAGACCTTCGCCTGGAGTGTCGGTCATTGCCCAAAGCAGTTCAGGAAGCCCTCATGATGCCGTACCGCACTGCTTTGGGCTTCATGCGCTCCGTCAACATCAAGCTGACGCTTACCGCTTGGAAAAGTGTCCGTGGTGGCATTGCGAAGGCTTTGAAGCAGTTACGACTTGCAGATTCCACTTGCAAAAAGCCGCTGGTTTGGTCCAACGAGTCGAACGAGGGTCCGGCATTGCTACGCTATGTGTGGTCGCAAAGCGAGATGAGGGAGTACGTCCCGAAAGTGCTGGATCAGAGGGTCACCAGTGCGAAAGCCGAGACGTGGAGGCAGCGCATTGAGCAACTGATCAAGAACGATCCGAACCCCATCCCGTGGCCGTGGCACACTGGCAAGCACACCTCCGACGATGACTGCTTCCCTGCTGAGACATGACCTACGCGTGATATAGGGGCCGTAATGATTAACTAACCTATTTTGGAGGTTCCTCATTATCACTATAGTATAATGGGCCCCAAAACCCCATGCAAGTTCTAAAGGCCCCTATATACTAACTCCGTGCCGTAAGCTCATAACGGCACAAGCTGCTGGGGCCACGGAGAGCACAGTATCTGCAGAGCAGGCAGTGTGTCGTGTACGAAGTTTCATGTTTAACTCCTTCGATGCGGCTCGTTGTGTAAATGCTGGAAGGGCTAAGAGCGAGCGACAGGCAGTTCATGTAAAGATTTGATGCGCCGTTTCGTCCTTTGACAAGCCCGTTTGCAAGAAGCGAGTTTGTTGGGATTGCGCAGAGCACCACAGTTTCTTGTGAAAGGAGTCTGCCCAGCGGCACAGGACAGATCGTAAGGGTTGCAAAACGAGACTCTCAGGATGCATGCCAGTTCGGTTAATTAGCTGTCAAAATTATGGCTCCCTTTTGGGTACCCTAAATATTAGGTGCCGTACTATAATAGGGACCCAAAGAGGGACCATAATTTTGGCAACCAGCGATTCTTGCAAGACGCCATTCCTTGTCTTCTGAAACATAACCAAGCTCTCGACATGCAGCCCTGAAGGTCTTGTAAGCCATGGGCTTTACCGCGTGTGAGCCTCCAACTCTTGCAGGTGCGAGTGCTGAAGCACCTTGCCTACGCCGGCTCCTTGGGAACTTACCTTTGGTTAGTAGGGAATGGAGGAATGGGGTACAAGTATAACTATTATTACCACCATTCTTCCATTCCCTACTAACCAAAGGTGAGCCTAGGAAGGGTGTCGGATCGGATCGACTTCACGTCTGGTAGACGGCTCAAGCCCGAAATCCCCACATCCCTTGGCCACAAGAACCTCGAAATCCGCAACTGAGGAACCTGCGAATCCCTGAAACTGCGAGGCCGAGGTGGATGGATTGACGAAGGTCTTCGATGAGAACTACTTCGCAAAGGAAGAGGCAGCATATGGCGCATGGGGTTTTGTGGGTGTGGAGTTTCGGGCCTTCGTTTTGCGCCTTTAGGATTCTGAGTTGAAGATTTCGGATTTTGTCCTACAGTATAGTTGCATGGTGCATTGGGGGTCTGGGTTTATTTTGGAGGATGTTGCAGGCATTTGGATTTTGTGATGCCTTGGCAGGTGTTACGAGTTCTGAGCCACCGCATCAAGTCATTCATAGTTTCAGCAATGAGGATCGGCACTGTGCTGCCGATCGAGATGGCCTCGAAATCTCAAGGAGAGGCATCAGCATATTTCCAAGGCCTACAAAACAGTACCTCTTTTAAATTGGAGGCAAAAGTAGTTTACATTCCCACGTTTCGCTGTAGCCTACAAGCCTGAGCCCCAGCGCCGACAAAACGACTTCATCCTGGAAAGTTTAAGCCACCCTCGTCGCCTTCAAAGCCCTAACCCCCCATCGTCGCCTTCAAAGCCTAACCCCGCATCCCCGGACCTGGTGGTAGTCCGGTTGCAGGATGCTGCACAAGCATGTCGCAGCGCCTGCTATTCGGATCTCGGCTGCCAGCCCCAGTCTCAGCATCTCTTGCTCAAAAGTTACCCCAAGGGTTCAAAGAGCCCAATAATTCAGGGTAGTACTCGGTTTTCTCATAGTAGTTGTGTAGGTTATTATGTTGGAGAGTATATGATAATTACAGGTACTTGGACCCTTGGAGTTAAGCATTTAGCAGTTCAGGTCTTGGGTTTAAGGTTTACATTATATGGGGTCAAGACTGTTGTTTTGGATCTTGTGACTTGTGGCTATGATGGGTTGTCTCAGATGCCCTAAACCATTCTCAACCCTAAAGATGTCCATGTGAGGTTAAGGCTGTTGGACCCTGAGGGCAGTGCCGATGGATTGTGCCTGTTGTTGAGGTTTGCTTGTTTGATGCGTGTTGTTTTCTGCTTGTTGTTGGTTGCTTGCTGTTTCTTGTTACTGTTGTTATTGTTGCCGCAGCAATAGTTCCGTTAACAACAACAGCAGCCGCAATCATCATCGCCGTTGCCGCAGTTGTCGTTGCATTGAAATTCCTGAACGAAAAACCCTGCGCTGGGCGCCCCATTCTGCTCAATCCTGTTTCAGGCATGCCAGCCACGACATTTCGAGTTTTGAGATTTGCCTTTCCGGATGTAGTAAGCTGCAAGCAACAATTCATCTCCAGACCTCAAGTCCCATTGCAACTGCTCTGGGCACTGACGTTAACTTCATGAAGCCGACCTCGAAGCCAGGGTTTATGAAAAGCCACCTCGCATCCTTCACATTGACCGGCGCACAAGGTTTCGGGTCAAGCTTTCGCTTCATTTCCTGGTTTAGGGCTCCGCGTATGGGGTTTTTGAAATCGGGGTCCGGCGACATCCTCGCGCAGGTGGTGGTATTACAATCAAGTGAAAGGCGTGGATCCTGGTTGAGTTGCGTAATAAAGGGGCCTTAATATTTCGAACAGGGTTTGGGGGTATATTACACTATAAATATGATAAGGAACCCCAAAACAGTATTGGTAATTAGATAGGCCACTATGGTAAGGATCTTTGTGGCATCTGGATTGAACTTCACAGCTTAGGCGTTCAAGCTATGCTTGCCATGTTGCAGCGTGAGAAGTTGAATGCATATTAGGAGGGTGTACAGCTTTGAAATGATGCTGCGCTAGATTAAACGCCCTGCACTCTCCAGCTATTCTGTTGGCTAGGAAGGGTGAGCCTGTACCGTCTTTCAGGGCTTGAGGCTTACGAGTTCCAAGATTTAGGCAGTTTAGGCTGAGGCTTGAAGGGTAAGCTCTTGGTTCTGAACACCAGGCGTCAGATGAGTTGATATCATGTTCAGGGCTGTAGCGCTTCAATGTTGGCTTTCGGGTCGGTAATCCCTAAGGGTCCATGTACTCATATAGTATATACATCGGCCTTAATGTAGTCCCTATATAGGTGCATCGGGGCCCGTGTATCTCTATATGAGTACATGGACCCTTGCAGAATCCTGACCCGCAGAGTTTGGACCTGAAGTCAGACTCAAGTTGTCCTCGGAAGGAAATCTAAACATCGTCCCGAGGCAAGAGCGGCAGAAGTCCTCTTCTTCTCTACTGGCGCACCGCAACTCCAAGCCCCAAACATACCTGAAACCTAAACTCTAGTTACTCTGGTTTTAAACCCTGCAGAATAGATGGGAAGCCCCCCCAACTAAGTCCATTGCAGAACCGACGCAGAACTCCTAAAGAACCCTTTATCGTGACGAGTTCTCAGGGGCCCCGTCTGGGCGGCGGTTGAACAGATGGAATCGAGGATTCTGTCTCCGCCTCCTCAAAATACCGAAACACCCAAGGTCGAGCTTAACAAGTCTTCATAACTGCATATGATGCGAATATGAGTATGAATCCCAGTATTAAAAAACTACATCATCCTTAATGGTATAGTACGAATATTCAAAGATAGGCAACGAAGCAGAAGGCTTAAGAAGAGCCCTGAGGCTTAGCAGGGAATGGGGGAATGGATTATGGGGACTACTACTGGGGATTATATAGGTGGCTGTCAAAATTATGGTCCCTTTTCGGGTCCCCATTGTAATACGGCACCTATTAGTTTAGGGTACCTAAAAAGGAACCCCAATTTTGACAACCACCCATAGGGACTACCATAAGGATCCATTCCCCCATTCCCGACTATCCAAGGGTAAAAGGAGGGACCCTTGATAAGGACCCCTGGGCATATACCCTATACCCATTATATAGCCCATTATAGGGTAGGGGTCCCCATTAAGGGTCCCTCCTTTTTCCCTTTGAGACTAAGCACCAGGAAGAACAGCCCCTGAGGCTGCTTCGTGGAGGACATCTCCCAGGAGGCCGTGCCCGCAGCAGCCCCAGAAGGTACTGTAGGAGCCTTGATGGTTAGAATAGGGTTCCCCTCAAAGGGATCCTTACTGGGCTCTACAAGAGGCACGTAGTAGGGTTCTATGGTGGTTAAGCTAGGTGGCCTTAATAGTTAGAGTAGGGTTCCCTTTAAAGAGGTCCTAGAAGGGATCTTTAAGGGTAATTACTACAATGTAGGAGCCTCAGTAATTACAATAGGGCTTTTGGGGTGATACTATAACTTTAGTGATAGTTGCCTGCGCTATCTTTATTTTGGGGGGTCCCTATTATAATCATAGTCTCATATACCCCAACACCCTACTCTAATTATTAAGGCCCCTTTATTATCCACCATAGAAGCCTACTACATGTCCCTCGTAGAACCCATAAAGGATCCCTTTAAGGGGAACCCTAATCTAACTATGAAGGCCTCCTGGGACTGAGGCTTCCGAGGTGGGGGTCTTAGATTTTCAGATCTGAGGGTTGAGGGTTAGGGTTTCACTTTGAGGACGCATGGGAACTCGGGCTTCAAAACCCGTCTTTCGACGGGTGATGTAGCGTGGCATATGGATTGACCATGGTCCTTCATGCGTGCTCCTGGATAACTGCAAATCCCCGCAGCACGCACGTGCATCCCCTTCGGTGCTCTTCGAAATCAGTGCTGCTGTGACCATTATCGCTATACCTGTCACTGCCAAGACAGTCGTCATCACCATCTTCGTCATCAACACAATGTCCATGACCGTTGCAATGATCCTCTCGTCGTTACAGTATTTTCCGTCTCCTCCTCCAGACACTGCACCGCCGCAGCGCTCATTTCCATCTTCAAGCAGTCGAAGGCGTTCTCCGAGCCCTTTCCTCGAAGCCATGGCAGCCTCAGATGTGGAGCTCCTCTTGTCCGAGGAGAGGGAAGAAGCCAAAGCCCAAAAGCACACGGAGACCTCAGAGAGCCCCGGAACCCCCTTACTTGATGCATATGTCCCAAATCAAGATAGCTGGGTGAATATTTTGACTTGAGGTATGTTCCTTCCTCAATTGAGGGGCACTGAGTATTGGGCTTTCTGGGTCCTACGTTTCGCATGCTCCTCTTTCTTGAGCTGGAGCTTGGATTATGTCGTGTCCTCCATCCCGAAGCCC